GTGGAGGATGAAATTCCTCTGGTGGAGTGCGCTCTAATGCCCTCCAGGGGGTCCACTCCAGATGTGAGCTATGCCTGTGAAACAGCCTCACACAGCCAGTGTGACAGGTGCTGTGCAGACAGAGGAAGCCCCTGAGATTGCTCTCTGTAATGCACGAACAGACGCTGTGAGCGGCGCGAGGCGCTCAATGTAGGGGACGCACATACTAGGCAGAGAAGAGTAAGGGGGCTGCCCTTGGTGAGGCGCCCTGAGCATAAGATATTCCGTCGAGCCGGAGCTAGTGATACTTTTAGGCGTGAAAGCCGGGTTTGGACGCAGGATGGCTGAGCTGCCATCTCCCTGTATCCTGAGACTTAAACTGAACCCGATTTAAAGGTTCGAATGGAGCTTTAACCAGTGCGCATAAAACCAGCGCCAAATCCCACTTAGGGGCCAGAGAGCGTGACACCAGCTGGAGTCTCCTCATCCCCCTCAGGAAGCGTTTTAGCAGGGGATGGCTAAACACCGATCTGTCACCAAAACCCTCGTGACAAGATGAAATAGCAGCGGCATAAGTTTTTACTAGTAGCTGTAGGTATGAGAGTACGTGAGGCAGGGAGCACACAGTGGGATCTAGACTCCTCTTCATGCACCAGCGTTGGAAAGCTGTCCATTTCGCTGTGTAGGACCCCCCGGTAGACACTGCTCTCGCGTCCTGGATTGCGCGTACCACATCCTGAGAGAGCCCCTGCCTCTCTAAGCATTCCCGTTCAGCGGCCAGGCCCACAGACGCTGGCCTATCACCGGGTAATTCCTGATTGCTCCCTCTGCCTGGGAGTGTGCGTCCTCGCATCACGGAAGTTCCCACAGCCGGCCTGATACCAGCTGCTGCAGGTATGGAAACCATGACGCGCCAGTGCGCTCCGGGGCTATCAGAATCGTTGACAGCTGCTCTTCCTGCACTGGGTCCAGGAACTGAGGGATGAGCGGGATTGGAGGGAAGGCATAAAGGAGCATTCTGGGCCACGGCCGATGCGCGAACACGTTCACTCCCAGCGGAGGATTGTCCCGCGCGCTCAGGGTGAACCAGAGAGCGCACCGTGCGTTTCCGCGCGCGGTTAACAGGTCCACTTCCACTCTGCCGAGCTTGGACCAAGTCTGGGAGACCAGTTCGGGATGAAATCTCCAGTCCCCCTGATGAGGGCTCCCCCTCAACATAATGTCCGCCCCTCTGTTCAACTCGCCGGGTATATACACTGCTCTGATAAAGCGTAAGTGTGTGCGCGCCCAGCACAGCAGCTCTCTGGCTATGTTCAGAAGCTGCGCTGAGCACACTCCTCCCTGGCGATTTATGTAAGCTGCTGTCTCTTTGTTGTTTGTGCGAATGAGCACATGTTGATTCTGCAGCAGCGAGGCGAAATGTTGTATTACTTTCAACACAGTGAGAAGCTCTAGCGCGTTTATGTGGAGAGATATGTGAGCTGGCCACTGTCCTCCCACCACCTGCGACAGACACGTCCCTCCCCATCCCGAAAGAAATGCGTCTGTGAACACTGAGATGTGTGACGCAGCTCTGCCCAGAGGAACCCCCGCTGACAGGATGCAGGGATTTTTCCAGTGAGCCAGATCAGGATCCACGGACGGAGGGACGGACACCATGTGCCTCCGCTGGCGCACGGGATCAATGCGCAGGTGGATGAACCACCTGCGCACCTACCAAGACAGCCGTCAGCGCCTCCGCTCTCTGCTGCGAGAGCCGAGCTCTCATGCTGACTGAATTTAATTCCACTCCCAGATACATGACAAGCTGGGAGGGGAGAGGGGAACTCTTTTTCCAGTTTATTGTGAAGCCCAAACTCGCCAGATGGGACACCAGTCTTGCTGTTTGTAGAGCGGCTTCTTCCCTAGAGTGAGCCAGCAAAAGCAGGTCATCCAGGTAGAATAGCACTCGCATCCCCATCCTGCGTAGAGGCTCTAGGGCCGTCTCCACACATCTGGAGAAAGTGCGTGGGGCCAGGGAGTACCCGAACGGCAGTCGGTTGTACTGGTATTATATTCCCTGGCATGAGAAGCGCAGGAATTTCCTGTGTTTCGGGATGACGGAGACGTGGAAATACCCGTCCTTCAGACCTATGGAAGTGAACCAGTCGCCCTGATGAACACATTCCAGCACTCTTGTGATTGTCAGCATGTGAAATGGTCTGTCCATTATCGATTTGTTAAACAGAGATAAATCGAGAATGGGTCTCATTCCCCCTGTCTTTTTTTGGAACCAGAAAATAACGGGAGTAAAATCCCTGATTTTCCTCTCCTCTGGGAACCCTGGAAATAGCAGCTTTCGTCAGGAGTTCCTGCAGCTCCGATTGGAAAGCGAGGCAGTCTGTCCGGGATGACAGGATGGTTTGCAGTATCCCATTGTACAGCGGGGTTGGGGAGGCAAACTGCGGTGTGTAGCCTCTGTTTATCAGTCTGCTCATCCAGCTGTCCATTGAACATACACGCTGCCACTCTGAGTACCTGCATCTGTTGTGCTGCGGTTGCCATGGAAACGAGCCAGGTCAGAGCCCTCTCCGCCATTGCGTGGTCCGGAGGGAGGTTGGAATACACACGGACCCACAGCCTGCTGCCGGGGAGGAGGTGCGTAATGAACGCAGGCAGCAGCATCCTGAAGTCGCTGTTTAGAGGGAGAGGGCCCGTAAACATGACATACAGATTTCTTAGTGCTCTCACTCACCGGGGGATGGGGGGAGATGCTGAGAACAGACAATGGTGTCTGCATGCTGTCCACACGAGGCGTAGAGGAGGCGCGTATGTGTATATGTGTGCTGGTTTGATGACATGAGTCCGCAATGTCTGTTAACTGAGAGGATAAAAGGCAGTCAGCTCACACAGTGTGGGGGGTGTGTGTTTCACAGTAACAGCTGAGTCACAGGACTCAGGGTTAGACTGTTTTTTTCATAGGATCTGTGCTCCTTAAGGGACAATATTTGTTATTTCTTTCAAAACAGTGAGCAGCGTCAACACTATGAACATTTCCAGAGCACACAACCCCCCAAACAGTCATTGTCTCCTGCTCTGCTTCCACGGAGGCTCGCGGGGAGGATTGGACCAGGAGCCAGGCCCGCAGCTGCTCTTGTTCCTCTGGGGAGCCTGCCGTGCAGCTGGGAGGGCAGGCTGCGAGGATGGAGGAAAAGCAGGGCGGTGAGACGCAGACCTGGCGGCTGCGAAGGGACTTTTCTGGCGCATGCGCTAGTCACGTTGTCTATGGTGGTCCCGCCATTGACCGGAGGCGCGCGCAGCAGGCTGGTTCCATGCAACATGCCGTCAGATATTTTCAGCCTCCTCCGACGCTGACGTCATGGTGTCCACCATGGTGTGGAAACGCAGCCCAAACAGACCATCCGGGCTGATAGGCGCCTCAAGGAGGTCCTTCCTGGATGCTTGGATTGTTGAAGCCACAGGTTCCTGTGGATCATGGTCTGCCATGCTGCGATCCGAGCCTGAGAGACAGCGACGCAGGCGCACAAGGTGAGGGTGGCGCTGGCCACATCGGGGGCAGCTCCATAGTCTGAGCAGCCAGCTTCGTCATGGAGAAGGCCAGCAGCGATATGTTGTTGGCCACCGCTGACGTTGGGAAGGTGCACTGATGAGCGCAGTCGGCCAAACGAGCGGTCAATTGGTCCTCGGAGGACGGCGGTACCGGCGAAGTAAGCCGTGAGGTTAGACTCCAAAGGCGGAACCGGAGGGAAGCCACGGTCGGTAAGACCCTCCGCCTTGGTGATGGGCATGTAGGTGGGGACAGGTGCTTTCACATTTTGCGGCCCTGCCGCCGCCCCTTCCTGGTACTTCTTGATGGCCGGGAATCGCGGCCACACTGGGTCTCGTCTGGCCGTCTGGACCAGGAGAAAATACCCGCACATCTCGTCCGGAGGAGCGGCGTCCTGTGCCGGCGGCACGATGAGATCTTTGTAAGCAGCTGCTCTTTTAATTATGTCCGGGAGCTCCCGGAGGAGACCGCCTATCGCCGGCAGGGAGGTAGAAACAGAGAAGGAGACCCCAGGGTGTATATCCATTGAGCCACCGCCGATCTCCAGCTTCCCCGAAAGGGGAAGGAAAGCAAGGGGTGAGCTGCATAATCCATGGATGGACATCCCTGGCCACAGCGGCGAAAGCGTCTGCTCATCGCTGCTTCTCAGCCTGGGGAAGGAGAGCACAGTACGGGCATGACGACCGCGGAGTGAGAGCCAGGCTGGCGTGTTCTGGTCCCAGGCAGTTCTCACAGCGGCTGCGTAGGTCGAAGTTTCTGATGATAGCGGACAGGCAGGTCCAGTCGCTGTCTGATGTCCTCCTGGAGGTCATAGCAGAAGAACTGAATTCTCATGTGCTTGCAGGATCACTGAAGAAAAATGGGAGGTGTTTGTACGCTGAGACTAGCTCGTCATTCCACCCAGGACTGCCAAGGAGTGAACCTATACCATACATACCTACATGTATACAGTCCTACGGTAATTAGGAAGCTGTAATATTTGTTCACCACTGTGCCTCATACTGAACCACATAAAAGTGGAGTGGAATCCAAACACCTGTAGATGAGGAGTTGGCACACAGCTTTAAAGGAGTATTCAGCCTTTAGATTTAACAACTGATACAACATATCAAACTAATAATTGATGATGTTTGCTTTGATACATTAAAAAATCTGTTTGTGACCTTACAATCAGCAAATAAGTTTAGTACATACTTTTTCTAAGGTCATGATTGTTTTGGGGGGAGGTATAAACACAGTTGATAAAAAAGTAGCTAATAATTTAGACACTGAGTTTTAACTGTGTTCATGCAGTGGTTGTAACAGATATCTTTGTTCGCTCATTTTTAAACTTCTTTCATTTCACTATCTTTAAACTTCATTTTCCCCCCATCCGTCAAGAAGTGGATGCTAATTTTTACATGAACTAGCTATAAATAGATCCCTCTGTGCTTGAACATGTCACTCGACTTGAGAGGAACATCTGGCTGAAGCCATGCCTGAAACCACCGTCAAAGCGTCCAAGAAGGGATCAAAGAAAGCCTTGTCTAAGAGCGTCAGCAAGAATGGCAAGAAAAAGAGAAAGACCAGGAAGGAGAGCTACGCCATCTACGTGTACAAGGTGCTGAAGCAGGTCCACCCCGACACCGGCATCTCGTCCAAGGCTATGGGCATCATGAACTCGTTTGTGAGCGACATCTTTGAGCGCATCGCCGGTGAGGCCTCCCGTCTGGCTCACTACAACAAGCGCTCCACCATCACTTCCAGGGAGATCCAGACCGCCGTCCGCCTGCTGCTGCCCGGTGAGCTGGCCAAGCACGCCGTGTCTGAGGGCACCAAGGCCGTGACCAAGTACACCAGCTCCAAGTAAACATTGATGCTGTTTCTAATACTAAACCAACGGCCCTTTTAAGAGCCACCCACTTTATCTGAAGACTTTCCTAAAACGAGTACTGTGTATTACTGACCAGACAGTTGTGACTAAAACAATATTCAAACATCAAAGAAAAATTAGGTACTACAATAAGCAGCATGTTCTATGTGTATATCCATTTAAATCTATTCTGTGTATTGTTACAGACCCAATACTTTTTATTTTCTGTATTACTGATTGTTTTGTGTATTTTATATATCATTCTGCACCTCTGGTTAGAAGTGTTTTGTTGTATTTGTGCCTGTAATCTATGCAACATCAGTAAAGTTAAAACTAATATAATGCTCCATCTTGTATCTTTCATAGGGAGAGAAATCTAATAAACTAATAAACACATCAAAATTAAACACCCATTCTAGTTTTTCATCATCTCAACATCAGAATATTTCAGGGTTTTATTGAATCATCTAATGGAGAGTTCAGCCCTCATTATCCACCTCTCCCAAATCACACAACACAATCTGTTTTCCTCCTGCTTATACTTTGATTAACCAGCCGTTAACATCTCACTGTTTCTGGAGAATTGAGTTGGTGAATAACTCTGTAGTTTACATTTGTACATCAGTAACTGTTGGTGGTTGTCAGGTTTGTGAGATACAGACGACTGTTAAGTTTAGCATATATTTAGTCTACTATAACTTAGTTGATAGATGATTTAATAAGTGATGGAAACTGATACAGCAGCCAAAAACATCATCTACAAAGTCATACAGTTGACGTCACGATATAAAGACTCAGATTAACTGTACAGTTGCATATTATAATAAGTATTAATAAAGTCTAATCTTTTTTGTTTGGTTGTTTGTTTTCTCTTCAATGTGAAATATCCAAAAGATTTTGGAGCGATCTGGAATCTCACCTCTTTGAAAACTAATTCAGTTTACTTCTTTGACCTCAGGGATAGTATTTGTTATTATGATGATCCAGATAAAAGTATTCTTCAATATCTAATTAATGTTGTTATTCGAAATGCTAAACTTTTTATTCATAAGCAGAGATGATCAAAGTCACCTCCTGAATTTTTACCTTTTCTTATAGAATTCACAGACATACATTTGTAAATCAAAAACTGTTTGTTGTCAGGTTTGTGAGAGACAGACGACTTTGTTAAATTTAGTATATATTTAGTATACTATAACTTAGTCAATAGATGATTTAATAAATAATGGAAGGTGATACAGCAGCCAAAAACATCATCTACAAGGTCATACAGTTGACTTCAGGATATAAAGACTCAAATTAAGTGCTACAGTTACATATCCTGTCGTNCTGATACAGCAGCCAAAAACATCATCTACAAGGTCATACAGTTGACTTCAGGATATAAAGACTCAAATTAAGTGCTACAGTTACATATCCTGTCGTGACTAATGGAGATTTGATACGAAACAAAAATGCTGTTTACCATCTAAGGACAGCGTATTCACTGTGACACAATTCTTACATCAGGCAGAAGGATAAGACAAAAATTGACCTTTCATAAAACGTCTCTCTGGAACAATTGTGATAAACTTATCAGAAACAAATATATATCCTTTAATAAATGGTTCCAAGGAGATACAAATTATATTTTTAATCCCTTGTTGATATATCTGGCAATATGCTTTCCTGTGAACAGTTCATGTTTGTACATTAATTTCAGTTCCTTTCAGAGAATCAATTTCTTTGACTCGGATATATAGTGTTATCATATTGCTAAATTTACAGACCATAATGCCTCCTGCTCTTTTTGTAAAAAATAATACAAAAAGTATTTCTCCTTTGACCTCAGATATCAAATAAATGCACTTTTGAAGCTCATCAATTTTGTTTTTCTAAATGCTCAACTTTGCTTTACTTACAAGCACACATTATGTAAGTCAATGAATTTTAGTGAATTTTTACTCAGTTATTCTTTTTAGTTCCTAAAAAACATCCTTGTATCTTATTTTTGTCTCTTTTCTTGTGTTTTCTGTTTGTTTTGTTTATTTTGTGCAATTATCTTGAAATACTGTTATTCATATATTTTAAATATACTTATGTAAAACTTTTTTTTTGTTTCATATGGTTTTCATGAACTACCTGATGTTTTGTTCTTATTCTCATAAAAAAGAAAGACAAAAAAGGCGGTTTAAAGATGAGTCATTCACAGCAGAATAGTAATTTCCCGCCTCTACTGTGAAGGTGAAGGGTTCATCAGTGTCCTAGTTTCTATTGTTAGAACAAATGTCTCCGCCCAGCAGAGCTCAACTACGTCCGCAGCAAGGATTTATTTACCCACGTTCACAACAACCAACTTTCAGTTTTTGCTTCGGTTCAAACTAGATTCGGACAGAATGAGTGGTCGCGGCAAGGGAGGAAAAGGACTCGGTAAAGGAGGCGCTAAGCGTCACCGCAAAGTTCTCCGTGATAACATCCAGGGAATCACCAAACCCGCCATCCGCCGTCTGGCTCGCCGTGGTGGTGTGAAGCGTATCTCCGGTCTGATCTACGAGGAGACCCGCGGTGTGCTGAAGGTGTTCCTGGAGAATGTCATCCGTGATGCCGTCACCTACACCGAGCACGCCAAGAGGAAGACTGTGACCGCCATGGATGTGGTGTATGCTCTTAAGAGGCAGGGCCGCACTCTGTACGGCTTCGGAGGATAAATCACCGTCTCATCTCACTGCAACACAACGGCTCTTTTAAGAGCCACCCACAACATTTCAAGAGCTCGTTTCTGTTGATTTAATACCGTTGTATGTTCCCATTTGAGGTGCTTTCCTATGAGTCACTCATACCAGTTCTTAAAATTATTTAAAATATTCTATTAGCCTATAATTATTGATGCATTACTGTTAATAATTTTGTCTGCTGTAGGTAATAATTGAGAAATTCCAGTGCTACAGTGGCCAAGGAGAAAGGGTCAGATAAAAAATATCAAAACTTAAAA